GGTTTACATTCTCTTCTCATCAACCCTCTTTTGCGTATTGTTTTATACTACTTATCAATATTCAGTAAACAGTTGTGTTCCTAGCAATTTCTGCGTGCATGTTGTAACGCAGGTTGGTCGTGTAATATTCTAAAATATTTGCATATACTTATAACACTTATTGTACATGCCACTATAATTACATTCTCCATATCCCTGTAGCAGTTACTAATGCCTTTATATAGTCGTTTGATTTTTGTTTAGACACAAAGATTCCCATATTTGTTTGTTTTGGTTCCTTTCTTCTTGTTGATACACTGTTATCAAGATTAGACAAAGCTCTCAACTGTCATTTGCATTGTTGTATGTCATAATTATTCTTTAGGTTATGATTTCTAAAAGCCTTCTTTCTTTCAGACGCGTTAAGTGCCACAGATACCTGATGAGTCAAATTTTGTAACTGATTTCTGTCTATATTCCTCAATAAAGAACCGCATTTTAGACAATTTTCTGTTTTATGAACCCTGGTTTCGCGCGCATACTGATCGTAAGTGGCGTGTTGAGCAAGTTAGTTTTGTTTTATCAAATCTGTGCCACAGCACTTCATATATTTTGGTGTCCTGAATTCCCGGCCGTTGCTGCTACCTTGAGGTGGTGGTCGAACGTGCCAGTTGTGATGAACCAATTGAGCTATTCTGGCCGGAAAAAGACAATACTCTTATTTGCTCTCAGCTCAGACGCTTAGAACGATGGGCGAAACACTTTAGAGAACAGTTTAGCTGTCCTTCAGCTACTACACAACTACCCACCATTCCCAGAAAGCCTGTATGAAACAATTACACACTTGATTCGTATTGCTAGTATAACATTGTCACCTGCGTTCGTGGAGTTCACAAACCAAAAATGAACAAAACTGATCTAATATGTGTAGTTATTATATGGCCTGTACCTCGTCCAATAAAATAGAAGACTAAAACCGAAGCACGATGTATTTACAAACAGTAGTAATAATTTAATTTAGATAATGAATGTGATAAATAATGAATCATACAATTAATACATATAGCTAAAGGTTATTCAATACCAGTATATCTATAATGTCAAAGAGACGCAAAATGGTGGAGCGCTTTATTAAGATTATAAAAATGATCGAATTTTTCTGCCATTAGATACCTAATAAGTTCTGTTTTCAAAGATTTAAACAAGTCTTTACTAAAGGTTCTATTATGTTTGTTAAGTTTATTCAGCATTATTGCAAAGTGATCATATTCATTCATAAAATACCAGTTTGTTTGTACTTCTACCTTTGTCGATTTATTAGGTTTTTCTTATATATCTTATAAAGGACTATTAACTTTCAGAAGCGGATTTTAACTACAAACCATAAAGATTGAGGAAACATTTAGATACATCTTAACATTGAATGAGTATTTTAAATGTTTAGATCTATGTTCACCAATAAAGTATAGAGTGATTAATTCACTATTAAATCAATAAACTCTCGAGTAATTGTATCACTTTTCCTTCATTTTTGACTCACGAAATAGTTTTAGAGACGTTAGTAACCAAAAACTGGAAATTTCACGAATCACCAATTTGTTTAACACAAAACATAAATTTCACGAATATAAGAGATTAACAACTGAGCAAATAAACATATTATTAAGGTTTATGTTAACAGTTAATGTCATTAATGTGATTTAATCAATCTGTGAGGATGGTCCACGGATAAACTCGAGAAAGCTCTAAGAAGCTCAGAAAGAGCCGGAGATATTCCATACAATCATCTTTGAGAAGACTATTCCAGAATCCTTACGTGTAGCTTCCCTATTGAACAAATGCTAATAAGTCCTTGTATGCGGATTGGAGGACTATAATGATGATTTCGTTTTTGCTAAAAATTATTAATACCTGACAGTTTTGTACCATAAATGACACTGTTTGGAATAGCATTCCTTTCACTCGTCTTCTGTCTTCTCATTTACGACTTAGTGGGTTCTAGCGCCCGAGTTGCTCAAGTTATACACGATATATTAAAAATCTAAGCTCTAGATACAACACAATCAAGCTGATGATAATTTCAAGATTACATTCACTGTTCTATGCAGCGAAATCTATGAATCCTTAGGTGACTCAAGGAAATTTTATTATGAAAGTGTTGAATGCTATACATATATATCGCTAAATAAGCAAAATAACTGGTAATTTGCATGTTTCCAAAGCTTTATCCACCATACCTCTCAAGTTTTCTTAAATTCTACTGTGTAAAAATGAAGACTGTTTACTATAATACATCAGTTTCTCTGTATTATTTTAATTCTTCAAAAATTGCAAAATATGATTACAGAATGACACTTCACATCTTTGATCTTAACATGAAATGTATTTACGTAAAGACCTATTTTTGTTGTATGCTATTAATGTAACAGGTCTTTTTGAAGAATGTTTCGTCAAACATCTGAATCTTGAGAATTTTCGTAATTCAATTTACACATGTTTTCTAATATTAGTATCGTTATTGAAAAAACGAACCAAAGACAACTAAACATCGGGTTAATTCTCATTTTGAACCACTCATTGGTTGGCTGATACAACTCAAAAGCAAGCGAGAATTCACAGTATTCAAGTTAAGCAGGTTATATGATACCACCAGAATAGATTAGGTAGAATTCATTGGCTCACATTTTCGACTCCATACAATGCTGTCATGAAATAAGTCATGAATTGAGAAATTGACAGATACATAACGCTATCCATATGTAGATCAAAATATACACTACAAATCGACCATGAGCAGTGGCTGATCTCACCCTCTAAACCATCATTTATTTTGAGCCTCATTATATACAATAAATCACATGAGCAGAACAATATAGACAATAGCACTGAGAAAGAAATGAAAACGAATTTACATAAGGGATACCAAATATGAATGATTGGTCATGCAGTGTTCCAACAAAAATATTCTAAATATTGTGAGCCAGTAGTTCATAGACTCATTTAGTGAATCTTTAGTGTATATGGTCCTGTGAACAATAGAGTTGTGAGTAAAAGCTCACGTTGAAATTCGGACTGAGTTGATTAGTTCTCATTTCTGCCAGAACCTTTTCCATGATGTAGTTCTCTGTACAGTCATAAGCGATCGGTTCAAAATTTTCACTAAATTTGTTGGCAAAAAGTTCCATTCGCTTTGGAATACTCGGAAGAATGGAAATACCAATAAGACATATACCATTTCTAACTTTTCCACGTCTACATGGTCTATGGGCCCACTTTACAAAACGTCCTATGTACATCGCTCGTATATCAAAGTCACTTGTGAGGTATTTTTCTTTGCAAGCACCAGGAGCTCCAAGTAATGGATTGTAATTCAATGTAGAGAAAAATAACTCATCTGGATGCTTCGGTAAATGTTTTTCTGCTTTCATTGCGTCAAGTAATTTGTTTGCTTTTGGGTCATTCTGATAGAACTCAACAAAATCGCGCCTTAACGCTACGTAAAAGCTTCCTTTACTCCAAACGATCTAAAAATTATTAGATATATTACTGACATCTGATGAATAACTTCATTTATTAGGAAACAATTAAAGCGAAGAAAAAGCCATTTAATGTTACATCTTATCCCTTCAATTTTAGCAGGACACTAAATTGTGAAAACACTTTCATTACAACTAATATTTTAGTGGATATTACTCATCAATATCTAACTGAATCACCAAGTGCCTAAATCAATTCGATATTGTTAGCATTGAAAATCTTGACTATTGACTCACACAGTGGAAAGAATGAAAATATTAATAACTGTGTCAGTGGTAGTGTGGTGTGTGCTACTTATGTAGGCACAAGTAATGCATGATGTTAGTCGTGAACAGAATGTCTGGCAGCAGAGAAACAAGAAGATCGAACAGTTAAGAATGAAGACAGAATGCAATTTGTATGAAAATGCAAGAACAGTGAAGTCTGAGTCATTTTGAGACAATTGATGGACATTTTGCAAATTGAGCATTTAATATATAGTTGTTAAATTTTATTAACAATTTCTGTGATTTGTTTTCGATTGTACCCCACCCGTGTTCTGTTCACTACACATTTCATTTATTACCTGGTAGATTGCACAGTGCTGACGCAAATATTTTGGTATTACAACTAACATTTTAGTGGATATTACTCATTAATATTTAACTGAATCACTAAATATCTAAATCAACTCAACATTGTTAGCATTGAGAACCCTGATTATTGATTCACACGGTGGAAAGAATGATATTATCAATAACTTTTAATGGTAGCATAAAATTATCTACACATTTCATTTTTTATCTGGTAGATTCCACCGTGCTGACGCCAACAATGAAACACTGACTTCATACTATGTGTCAACCTTCTGACAATACACTAAGGCATATAAAAGTAAATTTCTTAAAATTCTCTTCCTCCCTTTTACATTAATAAGAAATAAAATAAACAGTTTTTTATACAGATACAGATACTGTTTAGTGGAATGTGTTATTTGCCAAAAGGAAAGCTAGTTACTCAATCAAACCAAGCATTACATTTTCAATTATAACATGTTAAATCACACTATCACTAATGTAATCTTATTTAAAGCAAGATTTAGAATTCTGGTTCACTTTTCAAACGTTGGCATTTGTCTTTCTTTATACATTATTTCTGAGTTACTTAATAGGCTTTACATGATATAAACTGGTCACTGTTTAGTCCCAGTGAACTAATTTCGAACCTCATCATCTATCCTTGACTACTGTATGTTCCCACAAAACGTTTCGGTTAAAGCGTTTGGTCAAATCTTCTAATGTTTAAATACTGTAATTCATTTAACTCACAAAATGTCAGTACAAAACATCTCATCCGATTTCATTTTTATTTACATATCCGAAGCGGTAAACTGGTCTCATGCAGTAAATTTCATTGGAATTACGATGTCAAGATTAATCATGACTAGGCAGTTCATAAATACTATAATAAGTTATGATATACATAGCAAAGACAACAAAATTTACCGGGAAAGTGAGATTCTTATTCGGCCAACGTTCTGGATTATGCCCAGGTCCCAAATTTTCAACTATATTTGACCCATTCATTGCTTTCAACAAGGCAACCAATTCCCAATTGGTGCGAAGTGGTAGTTCTTGACCACTCACATTCAGAATATACCTCCAAATAATCTCACTGTTGTTTACCAACTTCTCTGCACATAGAAGAAACATTTCCAGTATGGAATAATATCCCCACTGAACATCCACACTTTCCGATCGATTCACCACCATCACATTCGAACCAAAACACCTAGCCAACTCCATCACTTCATCATAAAAAAATTGTGGTGATTTGGAATCCACATGAATACAGTACAAATTATGTGATCTGTAAATCAAACGAAGGAGACGAGCTGCCTGTTTAATATTCCCATGAACAGCTAAACTGAATGCAAGAGGGAATTGTTTTTCTTCCACTGTCGACTGTACGACTTCACCACGAAATAACTTGAATTGATTGCATGTATGAGAGTTCGTCAAATTTGAGTAGTCCGCATTTGATGGTGATTGAATATTTCTTACCACATTGTACTCTAGCCAACTCAGATCCTTTGAGAATAAGTATTGACATATGTGATTATTTACCAGACTCAATTCCTCAAACATATATTCGTAATAAGCTGCATATGATATGTAATATGTAACTGTAAGCGATGTGATGAGTAATGAAATGGAACTGATCCAAACTAGTTTACGTCTCAGATTGTTTGTGTAGTAGGTTGCAATATTTCTTATGCATACTTTCTTTTTAATTGAGTTATTTAAGGACCAGTATTTCATGTTAGTTTCAAGGTGATTAAGCTGGTTCTTTTCGTGGTCGATTACATTCACTAATTGATAAAATGAGTTTATTGTTTGACTATGAATGTTGAAGAAATCAAAACGAACTGGATCATCTTTTTATTAACTTTAAATTTATAAATTATTGTTTAAGCTTTTACACTATATATATGTTTACATATTCCATTTGAATCATGCTTCTATGCTAGTTAAAACGTGCTCTTACACTAAGTTTACTAACATCACATTGCTCTTCGTTTCAAAGTTCTTTTTTAAATCAATAATACATTCTGTTATATGTAATAGACTTTGTGAAGTTATTTAAACAAAAAAATCGAAGTCGATTACATTTAATATTGTTTGTTGTTTGCTCATATTAATAACTACGCTGCAAGTAATTGTGCATTTGTATAGATTATACTTATCCCAATTTTATGTCTAAGACTTTGGATAAATGACATAATATTCTATCTAATTGTAATGCAATCTTATATGGATCTCAAAAATGTAATGTTTAAAAGCATTAGTGATTACTTGTCACTACTGTTCTCTTAGAAAGTTATTACGTAATAAAGTTCAAAAACACTTTCGAAACAGACTTGTTTGTTAAAAGAAATGAATTGATCGGTTTATTTATTTCGATAAAATTACTCATGACAAATTCATTATGCTTCTTTTTAAATATTTCTGTATGATATTCATCATCACAGAAATTTTGATATAATAACTTCAATAACATCGGTAATTATATTCCAAATACTTTTAATTTGTTTAACTACATGATCTTAGAATATGTATGTAAGTGTAAGGAACTTACATGAATCGCATACACTGTGAAGCTTAAAACAAATAAAAATCTACATCAAATAATTAAAGCGATCACTCTCCGAACTCATTCCAGAACACTATCCGGCTAAGATCTTAAAAGAAGAATGTAAAACAATTACTAGTTCTATACAGGAGCGTTTAATTAACTGTGGACACATTGCTCCAAAAGATTCCTCTTTTAAAGTAATCTACAGAGTTAAAGGAACTGGATCGAAGGGGGTTAGAATCAATATTTTATGTACTGCTGAGGCATTGGCAATCCGCGAACTCAAGCCTGAACTTTTCGTGGAGAAACGATTCGTCCAACCTCTCATCCTTCCTTGACTCCAATTCCCTTTATTGGTATGTTTCGGGTTTTTTCTTTCCTTTCTTCTTCACTTTTGTTTGATTATTATTGATTTTTTAAATTATTGTTTTGCAATTCTATTACCTTATACAAGTTTTCTTGATTATTATTCAGTTTATTATTACGACCTTTGTGTTTGCCGTTTTTTTCGTATATCTGTCAATTAGACTATTATCTGACCTATAAATTATTTTCCTCCTTACCCTTTGATTAGTACATAACCTCATTTGTTATTTAATCTCGAATCGATTTATTATGCAATCTTTCCTCAGTATACGCGTTGTGGAAGTTAGTAAGTTTTTAATTGAGATCATGAAAGATGGTTGCGCAATTTCATGGATTGGTTGAGGTTAGACATTAACACCGTTGAATGCCGGCTCAGTGGTCCGGTAGGACTGAAGGCCCTGGGTTCGAATCCCGTTAGCGGGATTGTAGATGCGCACTGCTGAGAAGTCCCACAATAGAGAGAAACAGGGCTTCCAGGTTTTCAATAGTCGACTAACATCAATCGGTTCATGATCTCAATTATAAACTTAATAATCTCCACAACCCCTATACTGGCAGTCTTTTCTATCTTCCTATAAACATATATTTTCCATATAACTAGAAATACGAATGCACAGCTTAAGTAAATGATTTCACCGGAAAGAAAAATTTCTTCTCTGAATTCTCTTTTTTTATTCAATGACACTATGGATTATTTTAATTATTTAAAGTTATTTATAAAGATATACAAATAAGTAGATATCAAATGTTATAATAAAAATTTCACTCAATTGAAGTATAGAAACTACATTGTGATTATTTACACTTTCCGCTGGAATGACTGAATAACTGTTATATGAAATGCTTAAAGAGTTCGATGAATTCATACTAAGTTCACCGTAAAGTGAACTAAATATATTTTCAAGTAAAATATTGTTTAAATAAATAATTGTTCTTTCAGTTCATAAAAAAGCAAATTTTCAGTGAAACATTCAGCTAGTTATTTATCTAATAGAGTATAAGTGAATTGATCTGTACGGAAACTAGAATAACCCATTTAAGCTTGACATAACACTAACCACTACAACTCCATATCATAGTACGCCTTGTGATTAATTTACTTACATTGACAAGGAGTATTGTCTTCACTTTAGTCTATAGACCAATTACGAAAGACATTTGGTATGATTTACTTGAATTTGTATAGTGTAAGTAATTACAAACAAAAAGCTTATTTATATAGTTAAAAGATTGTACATTGCTAAGTAAGAACCAACCTACGTAGACAACAATTGTTGTAGCCTTTTATCATGCATTTGTGGTTTTAATGAAAGGATTAAAAGTAAATTTACTTTCCTGTATTTAAAAGGTATTTGCACCTAAACTGATGATATAAGATGGTGAGAATCACATTTTGTACATCTAATATTCATGTCATAAATGTGTACTATAATTTTTAGGATTACACTATAGTATTCGTCATGCTTATGTTGCTATAAAAATATGGTAATTGTGGTAGGTCTTGCGTTATGCCCTGAAGGATGATATTTCATTCAGTGCCTCAAAGACTGTAATATCAGTACGTTAAATACTGATGCGTTTATTTTAATTTTCCTTCTGTAACATTATGCTCTATTTCTCACTATTTTTTTCTTTTATTTCTTAGGTGAACTGACGAACTATAGGAAGTAGCTCAACAAGAACAAATAAAAGATGTGAATTACTTTACAACTATTTAAATAAATGTTTCTAATAATGGTTTTGTAATTCAGATTTCACTTCTTTAAATCAAGTTCAGTGTGGTAAAACTTCTCTATAGTTTACTGTCTACGCACATTTTCACAAAACAACCTAACTTTACTTATGTGTTATTTACTAAAGGATAACTACATAAGCATTTAGTTGTCATCTTTTTTCTAAATTCAGCTAAGCTAACTGCATATTAGCTGTACTAGTCAGTATTATTCAAGTTGACGACGTTGATCAGAAATCCATAAGCTGTATTGGAAGAACAACTTCGTATCAGTGTGTAATGAATTCATTGTTTTATTATCTAGATGACATGACTCGACTAATTTATGATAATGGTAGTGGTTATCTGGAAGATAACAAGACAATTCATCCTGTCAGAAAAGATTTCAGCAAGAAAGTATCTGAACAATAGTTAGATGAAGCGACTTGTTTCATTATGGATTAAACTGCAAAATCGTGCATGGAGGACAGTTGACAAAGTCGTTCGAAGTAAAGACCGGTGTCAGACAAGGTTGTTTACTCTCACCCTTTCTCATTCTTCTGGTGATCCAATGGATCATGAAGACGTCAACATCTGAAGGGAAACACGGGATAAAGTGGACGGCTAGAATTCAGCTGGACGATCTAGACTTCTCAGATGATATGGCTCTTCTATCGCAAACGCAACAACAAATGCAGGAGAAGACGACCAGTGTAGCAGCAGCCTCAGCAGCAGTAGGTCTCAACATACACAAAGCAAAAAGCAAGATTCTCTGATACAACACTTACTTACTTACTTACTTACTTACGCCTGTTACTCCCAATGGAGCATAGGCCGCCGACCAGCATTCTCCAACCCACAACACAGCATGCACCAGTCCAATCACAATTAACGGAAAAGATTTGGAAGATGTAAAAACCTTCACATACTTGGGCAGCATCATCGATGAAGACGACGATCTGATGCAGATGTAAAGGTACGGATCGGCAAAGCAAGAGCAGCATATTTAAAACTGAAGAACATCTGGGATTGAAAACAACTGTCAACCAACTTTAAAGTCAGAATTTTCAATACAAATGTTAAGACAGTTCTACTGTATGGGGCAAAAACTTGAAGAACCACGAAAGTCATCATCCAGAAGATACAGTTGTTTATTAACAGTTGTCTACGTAAAATACATCGGATCCGTTGGCAAAACACTATCAGCAACAATCTACTGTGGGAAAGAACAAATCAGATCCCAGTGGAGGAAGAAATCAGGAAGAAGCGCTGGAAGTGGATAGGACACACATTGAGGAAAGCACCGAACTGCGTCACAAGACAAGCCCTCACCTGGAATCTTCAAGGCCAAAAGAGAAGAGGAAAACCAAAGAACATTTTACGCCGAGAAATGGAGACAGATACAAGGAAAATGAACAACTGGAAGGTCCAGGACAGAGTAGGTTGGAGAATGGTGGTCGGCGGCTTATGCTCCATTAGGAGTAACAGGCGTAAGTAAGTAAGTAAGAAGTGACTTGTTTAGCTAGTTACGTGTTAACGACTGTTTGATGCTGGAATCGGCATGCCTTAAAGTAATGCATACATCGGAGTCTATGGTAGTGGATTATGTTCGGGATAATTCCTAAGGTTTTGAATATCGCTCGTCCTGATAACTGTTATAAACTTCAGAAGACAATACAAATCATTGACTACAGCTTATTATTGTACAGAGCTGATTACTAATCCACAAGCATACCAAATGAATTCGAGTAGAAATTCTAATGCAAGCAAGTAAATAAAAGGGCTAATTAAGTGTCAAATGAATTGATAAAATTCGAGCTCATTTATAAGAAGCGAATGAGTTATCGAGCGATTTAAACAATTAACATTTAAGCTAGTAAGGAAGATACGTGTGATGACTGTAACACGTAATCAATCATATATGTTCATACAGACATGATAATAATAATAATAATAACAATAATAATAATAAAACACAGATATACAAATTGTTGCTATTCTAATGACACTGTTAAAAAAGTTAATTGAAAGACTTAACAAAATTAAACGTGAACAGACAAGTGTAGGTGAGATGATATATTATATTAAGTTAATTTAAGTTCGTATTATATTCGCATGTCTAAACCAGTTAATTGAGAAAAAAATCCAGTAATGTCTGATGACATAACAATCTAGCATAGAATGAATATATGTAGTAATTTAAGTAACACAAACAAATACGATGAACTGAAACTGCATTAAATGTAAACGACATAGTGGAACTACTATAATAAGGAAACTCAAGAATCTAAGAAACTAAGTCGTTAAAAATTTCACAAAAGTGAGGACACTAGTACTCCCATACAACGCCAGATGACTATTATAGAAAAAATT